AAGTGCCAACAACTTTGCTTTTGAGTGAGTCTCAGCCATCACATTTCATCTGAATTGGGAATATGCTCCGACATATGCTTCTCCCCCAATCCCAGTCATTCCTCAGGTCATCCTCAAGCTGAAGATGGATCATGCCAGACTGATTCTTGTTGTACCAACTTGGCTGAAACAGTGTTGGTTTTCTGACCTTCTCAATCCTTCTGTTCATCTGCCTATTCCTCTTCCTTGTTGTCTCTATCTACTGACACAGGGCCATCGTCGGATTTCGCATCCAGCGCTGAGCAGCTTGCATCTCGCAGCATGGATGCTGTGTTGCTAGATAGCAGAGGAGCACTGTTCCAAAGCTGTTCAACAAGTTCTACTTGTTAGTACAAAGCTATCTACTGCAGCTACGTATTTGAGTGAGTGGAAATGTTTCTCTATTTGATCCGTGGCCTGGGGAATTCAACCAGTGCAGGCCTGCATTCCGGACATTTTGGAGTACCTGTTATTTCGTCAGTCCTCTGGTCTGTCGGTCAGTTCGTTGAGAGTCCATTTAATGGCAATTTTGGTGTTTCAGCCTCTGATCCTTTGCATCTCACTACGCCAGGAAATCTGTTATCTTGAACTCCGTGGTAGTCAGATTTTGAGAGGAATCATTCATTTCTTTCCTCCAGTAAAGGAAATGATTCCTCAGTGGGACCTTAACACTGAATTGACTGTCCTTATGGGTCCTCCATTGGAGCCCTTGGAAACTTGTTTTCTCTCTCTCCTGTGCCAAAAAGCAGCGTTCTTGTGGCCACAACTTCTATAAGAAGAGTTAGTGAGCTGCAGGCCCTAATGGTCAACCTTCTGAATACCCTTCAGGCCTCATCCTAAGTTTTTTGTCTAAAGGTGTTTCACAATTTCATGTTAAGTCGACAAATTTTTACCTGTATTTTTTCCCAAGCCTCATTCAAATGCAGATGCAGCATCTTCATTCCTTGGATATGAGGTGATGCTTGGCATTTGACTCGGAAAGAACAAAGTCATTTCTTTCATCATCTCAGTGTGTCCCTAAGAGCATCTCTGTGCCACAATGTAAGAGACTTATTTGTGTCTAGCAGTGAGTTTCAGCTGGCTTGACCAGCTCAGTGTACCCCAACTCACTATTATTATATCTATAAGGTGTCATGTAATAGGTCATTGGAAAACCAATAATTCACTACTCGTTAATATGCTTGTGTGATGTTTGTACATTCAACCTACAAAGGATTATACAGTAGCTAAAATATGTTTAAACCAGGCATTAAATGTTTTTTTTCAAGACAAAGGAATGCAGTAATTGAGCAAGTTGTGACCAAAGACAAAGAAAAGCATATTTGCATGCCATGCAAACAAAGCTATCAGGAAAGCAAGTGGAGAAAAACTGATCACTTAATAGTCTCAATGGGGGATTGGAAATTGCACTACTAGGAACCCTTCCTGCCTGTTGAAGCAGAGGCAATCAACTTTGACAGAGAGAGGATTTTCAAAAGATTACTGGATTGCAAAGAGAGGAGTGGTGAACCCCTAAATTATCCTCCACTTGAAGAGACCAGTAAAACCAGCACCTTAGGCTTTGTGGGCATCCTAGGTAAGAGCTACTCAGCCATTGCTGGAAAAGGAAGATTGGCCAGGAAATGAGCTTGAACAAAGACTATACTTGTTAAGCTGATCATTTTGTTTGTTTGTAACCTTTTCTATCTTTATCTCTTATAACTTGAACTCACTTAAAATCTCTTTTTGATTGAATAAACCTGTTTTACTTTTTATCTAAACCAAACCTGTGCTTTGATTGACTTGAAGTGGTTGTTAACTCCAGTCAAGCAGCTGTTTGTCTGTTTAAAGGAGCACCAAACTTAAAATCTGCTGTATATGGACAGTGATAGGGCTGTGCATTGCAGAGACATCTCTGAGGAACTCAGGTGCTGGAGAGCTGACTGTTACCTACTAGGTAAGGTTGGGGCTTGGAGAGCCCTGCGCATTTGCTGGCAAGGCAAAGACAAAGGTGTGTCAGGGAGCTGGCATAGCTTAACTGCAGCAAAGCTCCCACTACTTCCTGAGGCTGAGAGGAATAACTGTGTCTCACAGCTCTGGGTATCTCCAGCAGCTTGTCACACTCATCTTTTTGTTTCCTTTGTGGCTCAAATGAAGGGTCAAGTGGTCTCCCTGCAAACAATTTCTGGGTGGATAACATCCTGTATTACAGCGGGACAACTCAGAATTGGCCTCCACAGAGGTTAAGACACAGGTGGGCAAACTTTTTGACCCGAGGGCCACATCTGAGTATGGAAATTGTATGGCAGGCCATGAATGCTCATGAAATTGGGGGTTGAGGTGTGTAGGTGGGGTGAGGGCTCCGGGGTGAGGCCAGAAATGAGGAGTTCAGGGTGCAGGAGGAGGCTCCAGCCTGGGGTAGGAGGTTGGAGTGCACAGGGGTGTAACTCTGGCTGGAGGTGTGGGCTTCGGGTGGGGCTGGGAATGAGGGGTTGGGGGTGCAGGAGGGTACTCTGGGCTGGGACTGAGGGATTTGGAGGGTGGGATGGGGATCAGGGCTGGGGCGTGGGAGGGGGTCGGGGCGCGAGTGGGGGTCAGGTGTGCAGGCTCTGGGTGGCGCTTACCTCAAGCAGCTCCCGGAAGCAGTAGAATGTACCTCTCCAGTTCCTACACGGAGGCATGGCCAGGCAGCTCTGTGCGCTGCCCCATCTGCAGGGTGCCACCCCTGCATCTCCCATTGATCACAGTTCCCAGCCAATGGGAACTGTGGAGGCAGTGCTTGCAGTGGGGGCAGCATGCAGAGCCCCCTGGCTGCCCCTATGTGTAGGAGCCAGAGTGGGGACATGCCGCTGTTTCTAGGAGCCGTGCGGAACGGGGCAAGCCTCTGACCCCACTTCCTGGCTGGAGCGGGGAAGGCCCTGGACCCTGGTCCCTAGCAGAAGCTTGAGGGCCAGATTAAAATGTCCTAAGGGCCGGATTCAGCCCCCGGGTCATAGTTTTCCCACCTCTGGCTTAAGAGCTCATTTGACAAAGGCCTTTGCGAAATCAAATGCATTTTTCAGTGACTTTTTGATATTGTACGTTTGTAGACTTGGTCTTCCATGCATACTTTTACCAAGCGTTATGCTATTACAACTGCATCTAGATCAGATGTAAATTTTGGGAAGGCAGTTATTAGTTCAGTTAACTCCGCACGTCACCTCCTTGTGATACTGCTTGAGAGTCATCTGAGTGGAATACACAGACGTCTGCAACATCTTGAAGAAAAGACCTACCTGTCAGGTAACTGTTGTTCTTTGAAATGCAGGTGCAGGCGGGTATTCCATGGCCCTCCTTTCCTCCCCTCTGAATCAAAGTTTCAACTCTGATGTTCTGTGTGAAGGAACTGAGGGGGTTTGGGGTTTAGCCCTTAATTAGCCAGGAAAGGGCGGGGAGAAGGGTTCAGAAGGTGTTCGCACCACCCCTATGGTACTGCTAGGGAAAGTTCTCTGACTTTGGTGCACGGGGTCACATACGCCTAAGTGGAATACATGTCTGCACCCATATCTTGAACAACAGTTACTGTACAGGTAGGTAACTGTCTCTTTTCTTACTGAAAGAGTAAGTGCTGAAATTTGGGGGATAATACACTGTATTCTTCAGGTAACAAAGTGGTTGAATCCCTACTTCAGGTACAAAATTTGTTTTTACCTATAGACCTGCCAGCAGCACTTCCATAATATACATATGCCTCTTTTTCTGTGAATGTTCTGTAGTGGAGCCTGGTTTCTACTTTCTTGATTCTAGCTTTCCAAGTCCCTAGCTCAAGTAAGATCCTACATGAAAACCAGATAGCTTAGTCTCAGTCCAGGCAAAACAAAGATTTGTTGGGAGAGAGGAATTGAGAGGGGTTGTGACTGCTCCATCTATCAACAGTATATATCTACCTTTTGTCTTGGTGGTTCACAATCTTGATGGGCTTAGTGGGCCATCCCAGCCCCTGGATTCTTATATCACTGCAGCATTCCAAAGCTGTCTATCTCTCATATTCTGCTAGTTTAGAAGTTGTAACTTTCCTGTCATTTGCAGACAGCGGTACAGTTACACATACTTTGTCATTTCTTTGCCATTGTTAGGACATCATAAACCAATCAAGAGCAACTTTTATCAGTGCATAGTAAAAATATAACAGTGTAGGGTTGGAAGTAAAGATTTGATTTAGCAGTTGTTTGTGTTCTAGTAAGGCTTGACGCCACAACCTAGATCAGAATCCCATTTTGCTAGATGCTGTAGGTACTAGGGAGAGAGCGAGGGAGACCAAATCACACAGGGCAGATGTTAGTCACATCACTTATTGCGCCTTTTGGAAGGCACCCAGGTACTATGGTGGTGAGGGTGGACTAAGAATTTCTATATAATAGAAACAGTCTAACAATCAAAATGTAATTAGAAGAGGTAGGAAAAAATGTGAGGCAACTGAGTCACTGAGATGAAATGTCTTGTCCAGTGTCAAGAAGTCTGTGGCAGAATGTGTAATTGATCTCTTGAGTTTCAGTTTAGCGCAAGAGCCACAAGATTATCCTTCATTCCTAAAGAATTCTTTCTAAAAAATTCCATTGCAACTGCAAGCAGACTTTAGGTAGACAGATGTGGTCACTCAAGTTTTGGAACTTGGACAAGGTTAATGCCTATATTACAGTAATTGATATGGGAACACTACTGATCTGAAAGTCCCAAATTTTTGTACTTCGCCTCAAAACTAATACATGGTAAAACTGAATTTATTTGGATTGTTCATTCCATAGTCAGTAGCAATAGGATATTTCTTGAGTACCTTTTAAAATATTTTTTAAAAGGAAAAGTGTTGTTTTTCATGCATTTTACACCGTTAGTTACCATCTGCACAGACTGATAACAAATCAGGTATAAACACTTCTTTAGTAATGAATGTTTTCCAGTGTAAAGATGTTTTTTGCAGATTCTACCTTCCTAGCTAATGGTGTCTTGTCCTAATTCTCTTTTAGCTCTTGCATATGCCTGCATGTCTGCTTTTATTCCCAAGTACCTGTATAACTTCTTCTTGAAGGATAATTCTCATGTCATTCAAGGTAGGTTGATGTTTGTTTCCCTTTTCTTCTAATAAGAGAGTTTATGGAGTAGTTATTAATGCTGTGTTTTCAAGTAAATTTTGTTTTTTCTTCAGTGGTTTTTTAATTGACAGAAGTAGAAGCATACCCTTTCAGTATTATAGAAATACCCACTTATATCTTCAAGTAGCTTATTAGGAGACCAGGGTAGTAATCGAAGGAACAACGGCAAAACCAAAACAAAAATAAGTAGGAAAGTGTGTGAAGATGAAAAACTAACCAAGCAGCAGCAGCAAAAAAACACTTGTTGCTCTCTGAAGCAGTTTTAAGCAGGAACCAATCAATGTAATGATATAAGAATGCTAAAAAGACTCTCTCTGCACTTCGTATCATGGTGGTCTATCATTGAGGCAACTCAAAGCCACTTTATTGCAGACTGCCATTCTGCTTCAGAACAGAAGGTGAGAGGAGCAGCAGATATCAGTGGGTGTTTAGAGAATACATTTACTTTAGTAGAGGGTCAAGAGTTTGATGGGAGTGCCCTATGCCTATACTTAAAACGCTACAGTGGCACAGCTGCAGCATTTAAGGGAAGACACTTGCTACGACAGAGGGATCATCCCCTCACTGTAGGTAATCCACCTTCCTGAAAGGTGGTGGCCCAGGTGTATGGAAGAATTTTTGGGTGTACCTAGTCCTGTCTACTCCAGAGGTTATTTTGGCTTAACTATGGCTATAGCTACACTAGAGAGCTTACAGCCATTTATTAGCCATTTATTAACTTGCATCTAGTGTCAATCTAGTATAGCCACTCTACGCCTACAGGAGAGAGCTCTCCTGTCGGTTTAATTACTCCAGTGCCCATGAGCAATGGTAGCTGTGTCGGCAGGAGAAGCTCTCCTGCTGGCATAGCACCATGCACACTGGCGCTTAAATTGGCATAAATTAATAAATGGCTAATTCATACCCCTGAATGACATAACTTGTGTCGACTTAAGCTGTAGTGTAACCATAGCCTATATCTGCCAGGGTTGTAGATTTTTCACACTCCTGAGAGAACTAGCTATGTGGATGTAACATTTCAACATAAACCAGTTAGTAGATCAGTTGTATGACTGATCTGAGGACAAGTCTTCCTAAGGAAACTGCTCCATAGCTCCTGGTTGTTGTTTCTTAGCCTCAACAGCCCTATAAGTAAATAGGAGGAGGAGTGGGCTGTCAGTTCCTTTTAAAATGGAGACAAAGTGGAGAAGAAATTTGGGAGGATTAGGAAGCCTCCCAGAGAAGATTTGCTGAAGCCATCCTATCTGAATAACAAATTTAAAAACATAGAGGATCTTTACTTCAATCCACACTCTGATGTCCTTCTTGTCATCCTTTCCCGCATCACTAGCCATCAGATGCGCAGTTGACAGCAATTCTAACAAGCATTATTCTGATTTGAATGATTTAACACCTCGTGCTGTTTGTGAGATTCGTGAGTCAGAAGTGTGTCTTAATAGCTTGGTTAGGGCATTGTCTCTGTTGACCTAACAATGTTTTTTGTCTTGGGAGTCAAGTTGGCAGCTGTATGAAAAGGAACAAAAAATTATTCTTCAGAAACTTTAGTTAGAGCATACAGGAAAATACTCCTGTAGTCCCAAGTGTAGACTCCAAGAAGTCTCTTGCCCTTTTTTTTTTTTTTTTTTTTTTTTAGCAGAGGGGAGAAAGAGAGAGATGGAAAATTAATGCTAAAAAGGTAGATGTTAATAATCATGATGCATAGCTTCTCACTTTTTTTCATTGGTTACGACGATTTGTACCTGTTTAACAAATAATACATCTTACTGAAATGCACCATATGCACTTATAATCCACAAATAAACGTTATTACAATACTTTCCCTGTATGTCTTCTGCTGAGGAACAGCATTTATTTCCTCCCCTCATCTCCAAAAAGATATGGGAAAGTTCTCAGAAGGTCAGCAAAATGATTGGACATTAAGATTTGGGGTAGGCGGTAATATGAGGAGAGACTAAAAGATTAGGACTGCATAGTTTGGTATGGAGATAAGTGAGAGTGGGGGTGTGACCCGGACATATGACATAATGAATGACGTGGAGAAGGCCAGTCAGAAGATTTCCTGTTTGCACTCTATCATAATATAAAGGCAAAGGGGCACCTGATGAAACTAAAGGAGCATATTTTTAAAGAATAAAGTAAACTGTTATTTTATACAATAAATAATTTGCCTGTGGGATTAACTGCTTTAGGGTTTTTTAAGGCCAGTGTAGCTTAGTGAGATTTTTTTTAAAGGTTGAGACAGTGATATGTAGAAGAATATCATTTGTAGTGTTGCTAACTAGGATACAATGAGAGTTATTGATCGTCATGTGTCCAGACCTGAAAAAATTACCAGATGGGGATAGGCACATAGTATGATATTGCTCAAGTAAATGTATGATGTGGTCTTTACATCTTGCACTGCAGCATCTGGTATGAGGATATTAGACTAGCTGGACTGTTGGTGTGTTCTGATTTGATTTCTAGCTGTTGGTGTTCAATATCAACATATTAATATAGTTTTAAAGGAAGGTTTTGTGATGGTTTTGTTTAGTTTGGTGTGCTGAGCTTTTTCCTGTTCTCTGGAGACACTGTGAGGAACATGGCAGGATGGATCGTGTCTGATTACATCACTGCAATTTTAGCACCTCACCCCTTAATGGAATAAAAATCTTTCCCAGTGCAGAAAGGTTCAGCATATCTCATTTCTGAGCCTGCCCTAAGCAGTTAAAGCACAGTTTGTCAGATTTATCAGATGCATTTCCCCATATGAAGTAAGATGTAAGAGCAATTAAAGGTTTATAGCTATAGAATATCAGATTATGCAAAAGAATAATTCATATCATAAAATTCCAGCCAACAGTGTTTGGCAGGACCTAAATAATGTGTTTTCATGAAGGATTGTGTGTCTTCAATAGACCCTTCATTAATCATGTAATCTCACACAATAATTATATTTTATGAGTCTGGCTATACAAATAAAAACGATATTTAACAAACTATAGTATATCTGTGCAGAACCACCATAGGCACAAATTTCTTGTTTAAAAGGAAATGTGCTTTAAGGAAGTTAATTGTGAATCTGTTTTCATCAGCACGCATATGACTATATGTGATTACTGGCTTTATATGGCTTGGTCTGCACTACCAATTTATCACAGTATAACTATGCTATCCACACCCCTGAGTGACATTATTATACCAGCCTAACCCCTGGTGTAGACAGAGCTATGTCGATGGGGAGAAGCTCTCCCGTCGACATAGGTAGCGTCTTCACTAAGCGATACAGCAGCGCAGAGCGTGCAGCTGTGCCGCTGCAGTGCTGTAAGTGTAGAAAAGCCCTGTACCTTACCTATGGTTGCTGGGTATTTTATTAACTCAAATGTGTCAGCACTGAATGTGGGAAAAGCTAAATTAAGCCTGGCTTGTCCAATCAGCTTATGTGGATAATACATGCATACAATGAGATTGGGGGCTTGTCTTCATTGCAGTATTAGCTCAAAGTATAACTTGAGTGTTGCCCCTAACATGACTCCTGTTGATGCATAAAAATCTCTAGCTCAAATTAAGTGGTACTTTAAACTTTAGCTAGCTGTTCTATCAGAATATGTGAGTTAAAACTTGAGTGATACTGGAGCTAGTAATGCAGTGAGGATGCAGCTACGCTGTCGTAGTTTTCACTGCTTAAAAAGGTGTGATGTTATGGCCAGCAAACACGTGATTGTTATCTTGTTGCAAAATCTTAAGTGGAGATGGGGCACTTGTAGTATTCATGGCGAGATAGATTGGTGAGGTCAGCATTATGCCTCCACCCCCCCCCCCCCAGCCTGTGATTAACCTCATCTAGTTTATTTCACAGTAAAACCAAAGTGCCTTGTGTTCACTATGTTTTACAGTGGGATAGCTGATGGGCATTAGTTATCCTCGGGTAAAACACACACTTTTTTGGTCAGTGAAATCAAGCCCTATATTGCTACATCCAGTCATTCTGTGCTGCTGATCCATTGTGCAGATCAAGTTTTTTCTTGTATAGGCACCTATTTCCCCCCCCCCCCCCGATTTTTCACACTTGCTATCTGGTCACCCTAAATTAAGATAACTCAAGACAAAAGACAAGCCCTGATGCTGGTGTTTGTACATGGAATGTTTGCAAATTAAGGAGGGGCAGTTAGGGGACTTCCTAAGGCACTGTAGCAGCACTTACTGACCGTTCACTTCAGAAGCTTTTATTAAAGGGTGCCTGGCTATGACTCCTTCGCATGAAGATGCTGCCTTAGCAGAGTCTTTGATGGAGGGGCCTGGAAATCTCTGCCATTGGGGCAGGGTTATGTAGTGTCAGGCAGCAGCACTGTTGGAAATTTGAGAACTTTGTGGAAGGGAAAGGGAAAGGGAAATTCAACCTGTCATGAAATTGCAAGGATAAAGTCTCTTGATTCTGAGCCTAAGAAAGGCTCCACTTGCAGATAGAAGGCAAATGAAATTGTGTGTAAGGGGGAGGAAGAGGAGAGAAGCCTTTCGGGGATGAGTTTCCATTTTGGCTTCTCCGAAATTAAATGTGAATGATGATTGAGGCGATTGAGTTAAACTGTGCCTTTCAGCTTGATGTGTAGAACTGGGGATATATTATTAAATCTGTCCTGTAATAATTCTTTTCCCTCTCCAGAAAGGAAAATAAAGAAGATAGGTGTTAATAAAGGGAGGAGAGACTTAACACTTCAATCCACATAATGATGTAAACAAGTTCACTTTGTAGCAAATACGTTTAGTATGGTGATATCTTTGTAGTTTTCAGTGCATGTCAGTTCCTGGAAATTACTGGAAGAACCTTGTTCTAATTTACTTTAATCAGTGTGATATGCCCAAGGCCTAGTTCATATTCATGCTGAAATATTTGCTGTTTTTTAAATTGTGTAATTTGCAAGTGTGTAACACATCAGGCTATGAGCACCAATGAAGTATTCCATTTGTTTTAGCTGTATCTGAGTGGAAAAGGAAGTATGGAAAGTCCTAAGGACTTATGTACATGTACAGCACTGCACCGTTGTAGCGCTTAGTGAAGATGCTTCTTACATCGATGGGAGAGCTTCTCCTGTTGGCGTAGATACTCCATCTCCTTGAAGGATGGTAGCTGTGTCGACAGGAGAAGCTGGTCCTGTCTACATTGGGGGTTAGGTCGATATAACTACATCACTCAGGGGTATGGATTTTCCATACCCCTGAGCAACATAGTTATACCAGCATAAGTTCCTAGTGTTTTAGACCAAGCATAAGTGTAAAGAAGATAGCAGCTGTGTACTGTTGAAGATGCACATGGTATAAACAGGGAGTGGAGAAAAAACTTTAAATGGATTTTAAAAAATATATTTGTCCTAATGGGTAATATAATAGTTAAAATGGTGGTGTATGTATAAAGAAAAGTGCAAGCTTCATAATTAATTCTGTTCTAAGCACGTGTATTCCTTGTGTGTGAGTTAAGTGTGCCGTTGTGTGTTCTCTTTTTTTTGGCAATGATCTTAAACATTTTTGTCATTTCAGAATACCTGACAGTGTTCTCCCAGATGATTGCATTCCATGACCCAGAGCTGAGTAACCATCTCAATGAAATTGGCTTTATTCCAGATGTAAGTGCTAAGGGTTCTTGTAAATGCTGTATAATAAAGGTAAAGAGAAGAAAAAAGGAAGAGAGGGTAATTCTAATAGGGTGTTTCTAGATTGTTGCTGACACAATGAAAGTTGCCTACAGAAGAACTTTACCTCTGTCACTGGAAGTTTGATCTGGACACAGTGGCAAAATGAGGACAGAGACATGCATATAATTAAGTGGCAGGCCACAGCTTTTATTAAATTTCAACACAAGGGAGGGGCACTACCTGACATTACTCATAATCTCTTATACTAGGCATTTACTTAGCTCAAGTGGGCAGCAGGGGAGAGGGCTACAAGACTCCTTACCATATAACCCGGTAGCTGGCACCAGGATTACAGGACTCCTTACCATAATTCGAGGTAGGTACGAGGGTGCAGCAGGGTGGGGACCTCAGACAATGAAGGCCACAAGGTCTCACCCTATCACATGAGCCCAAAGCTCACCACCAAAATCCCAGGTCTTTTACCTCCTGGGAACTGTTCATTTTTATTCTCTTAACTACACTGGAAACTGGCTACAAGTTGCAGCAAATAAACAACTCTACCCCAGAACCTCAGTAGGAACTAAGGATATGCCTGTACTACCCCTCAGATCGGCAAGCAGCGATCAATCCAGCGGGGGTCGATTTATTGCATCTAATCTAGACACAATAAATGGACCCCCTAGCGCTCTCCCGTTGACTCCTGTACTCCACTGCCGCGAGAGGCTCAGGCAGAGTCAATGGGGGAGCAGCAGCAGTCGACTCACCGCAGTGAAGACACCGCGGTGAGTAGGTCTAAGTACGTTGACTTAGCTACGTTATTCACATATCTGAAGTTGCGTAGCTTAGATCAACACCCCTTCTCCCCCCAGTGTAGATCAGGCCTAAGTGAGTTCCTACTTACAACCCACTGTGGCTTGCAGGTGCTACGAGGAAGGCAAAAATCTTCATGGTCCTCCGCCAGTTGTCCCATGGGAGAAAAAATTCCTTCATGACCCCCTGAACAGGCAATGGGATAGTCCCACAGCATCTGTCAGGCCAGGTTCCCATCCCTATTTTGGGTGGATAGAATGGTCTGCTTGAACCGAGCCAAAAGATGCTCCATATGGTCCCTGCCTTGGGCTAAACCCTGGGACCTGGGGAGTGCTGTCCAATCAGCACGCCTCTCCCACAGCTGGCCAATGGGTGCTGGAGATTCCCAGGGTAGGAGCTATTTATTGTCCCTTGGCGAGTGTCTCCCTCCCTTGCTACTGGGACTGCTTCCCTTTCACCGCTGGCCCCTACCCGTTGATTCTGGTGGGTGGCACTTCTCGAAGGGCTTATGATTAAGGCTAAAATTTTGTCATGGATATTTTTAGTAAAAGTCATGGACAGGTCGTGGGCAAGATAGAAAAATTCACATTAGCCCGTGACCTGTCCCTGACTTTTACTAAAATTATCCATGATAAAGTGGGAAGGGACTGGGCAGATGCGGAGTGGCTGGGAGCTCAAGGGAGCTTAGAGCTGCAGGGTTCCCCTGTCCACTCCCTATTGGGGAGGAACTGCCGGTGTCCCCTGCTGCGGCAGCAGTGGAGCTGCTAGGGTACTCCCCTGCCTTCGGCGGCCGGGGGCTTGGGGGCCATTGTCTCAGGTGGCTCCCTGTTGCTGCGGGAGGCAGCAGGACCATGCAGCTCCCAGCTGCCGGGGCTGAAGTCACGGAGCTCTTTGGAAGTCACAGATTCCATACCTTCTGCGACCTCCGTGTCAAAATCGTAGCCTCACTTATGTTGAGATAGTTAAACTTTTTGTTGTTGTTCAACTTCATTCTTAAAAGAAAAATATCAATATCAAAAATCACACCCCTGATCGACGACATAATGCTCACCTAATCCTCACTGTAGACACAGCTATGTTGGTAGAAAAATGTTTTCATTCCAAGGTGGTAGTTTTCCTACACCAATGGAAAAAACATTTCCATCAAACTAGGCTACATCAACACTACAGGATTATGCCTGCATAGCTATAGTGACATAGTCTCTGTATTGTAGATATACCTTAAGCCTGTACTGAGGTGACACATTGAAGACTCTAAAGAGAAGCATTGTTAACTGATACGGGCGGCACTCTTCAAAAAGTCTGGTCAGGTTATAAAAAGAAGTCATTAAAAATACATGGCAAGCTTCATGACAGTACATGTAATAATCAGTGTGGGCGGGGAGAAAGGAGGGAATCATCACCATGGAAGAGGGGAATACAGGTTCAGTGGAAAGAGGGGAAATATAAGGTGTTTGGTTCAGGAATATATTTTCTGAACAGTCATGATTATCATTTTATTAAAAAACTATGTTCCTTCAAAAATGTTAAAGGTAAATCAGTGCTTTTGCAGAAATTGCCTGCTGTTACAGGGCCAAATTTGCAGAACTGATTTTTTCAAACACAACTTCTGTATGAATTTGTGTATACTCATGAAGTGATCAGGAGTTTCATATTTAAAGGATACTTATGCATGTAATTATCAGGTTTGTGGCCTCAAATGAAGCTTTTGCCAGGAAAGCGTAAATTAAGTCTGTTGTACAGTTTTTTTTCTTTTTGATAACAGTGTTTCAGGGTGATAAATAGGGTTGTTTATAAATGATCCAACTTCAGACGGGATATTGCGACACTTAAAAACTAACGTAATACGTCCAGTCAGCTGAAGAGACCGGCTAATGTAGTGGGTTACACACGGATGGGTTAAACTTACTTCGGTGTAGAAAAGACCTTACTAGGCCATATGCATCACTTCAGGCTAGTGTCAAGGGGGGAAGAAATCTATTCATCTATATAAAGCCGGTGAAATCAGGGTTTTATGTAGATGAAATGCACAGGACTTTGAAAAAGCAAAATGCAAGCTCCCAACATGGGGCTGGGGCACAGGGCTACAGCATAGCCATCCAAACACACTTTGGCCATTAATTCAGTATGTGAATTGGAATAGCAATATAGAACGTGTACATATGTACGTTCCCTGACCCATCCTTTTGCCTATCCCTATCATTGCCATCCATACCATCCTACGTGGACCCACTGCAGAAAACCATCTGCAGAGCTCCTCAGACAATGACTCCAATCATGGGCCTCTTATGGGCCTTCAGACAAATTGTAGATGAGATATGAATAAACAAACCATTTATTTGTACATATTTTTAATTATTTGTATTATGGTAGTAGCCAGGAGTCCTCATCAGTATCAAGACTCCACTATGCTGGTTGCTATACAGATGCACAGGCATACTCAGGCCCTGTCCCAGAGACCCGAAAGCCTAAGATAGATGACAAATGAAGGGAGTAGACTAGAGAATCCAAAATATATACCAATTAGGATGTACAACTATAAATTTTTTTTAAAAAGTATTTGCATCATACAAATAAATGTATTGGCAATCCCCGACTGTTCTAAAGGCTAGCTACACCTCCTAAAAGGAGTCATTCTTCCTAAATCACCTGTCACATCAAAATATTTCTGTTCTGGGTTCTGCCTTTTAGATTAGTAAGAGAGAGGAGTGTTTTTGCACCTGTAGCAAGACAGCCCAGATCCATCAAGGTGAAGGATATGCACTTCAGTAATGAGATCCGAACCAGAGTTTCGTGCTTGAGTACTAATCCTATCAAAGTAAACCCTGATTAATCTTTCATCATTGAAAGGCAGGCTCCCGCTGCAGGAAGGATTGTGTTTCCTGGCACCCTTCCATTTACTTTGGGTCATGTAGCTCTCAGAATATTGAACGCTGCTGAAGCTTGAATAGTTGTGAATATTGTTAGCTGATGTGGTGCCTGGATTAAATATATTGCAGTGGCTATGTGATTTACATGTAAATGGAGATATCCGTAAGGTGAATTTTACAGGGTTTTTTTTCTTTTTCACTGTTGTGGAGTATGAACTTATATAATGTTTTATAACATCTGTTCTGTATTTTACTAAATAATTCTAACATCAAAATCCGTCCATTTTTAAGGGAAGAGAGACAAGGAAATGAGCCACTTTACTATAAGGGAAACTGTATCCATAAATTATTCTGAATAGCTTTCAACTGCAAATAATAGAAGCTAGACACAGTTGTCAGCTGGCCATTAACAGAGATGACAAGGTCTGGCTGCAGTTACTTAATATCATCTTGGTAATGGTGCTGTTGTAGACAGACCTCAAATTGGATTCAGTGATATGCAGGAGGTATCTGTAATAAGGCTTTATCTAACTAGAGTTAAAAGAACACCGTTGCCAACATATTTTTCGTTCTTTTTATTTTCCTGTTTGTTTGTAACTACATTTGGAAGCCTGAATTAAATTGTCCTTACTGAAATATACTTTTCTGTCTTGCAAGCACGCACTTGTTCAGTCAGGAGTGTTTGACGGCTGGTTTTTAATTTTTATTTAATAGGAAAGCAATTGTTTTGTGTTTTACATATTTGGAATGAGAGATGGGGATGGATGGAATTGGGTTTAATCCTTTACATTTATCTTGCCCGCTTATGGGTACTCTGTCCCCAGTCCTTCAAACATTTATACATGTGCTTAACTTTAAGCATATGAATAGTTCATTTAAGCACTTACACAGTGCTATAGAAATTAAAATTAAGCATGTGCTAAAGTGTTTAGAGTTTCAGGGCCTTCATTACCAGTATCTGGATAGGGCACTGAAATAGGAGGTATAAAATTTGAGTTTTAGTCCTGCCATTCTGCCACAATATTGCTCGGTAACCTGGGGCAAGTAATTTTTAATTCTCTGTGCTTGGCTTCCACTTCTTCACAAGAAGTCAGTGAGGCCAAAAACTTACCAAGATTCAGAAAAGGACTCAATGTTTATATGGCTATCAGGAATACGCGGGGTTGTCACAATTATAAAAACCTTGGAAGGGACATTAAACCTGATGCTACAGGGTTTAAGCCAGTCTCTAACTAGGAGGAGGAGACCTGATGTGGGAGGCAGACTATCTCACGTTTGTCCTCTTTAGGATTCTTATGCTTTCTGTAGCATCTGGAGTAGCCTTTTTAAGAGACAGGGTACAGAGAGTTGATGGACCTTGGGTCTGATCTAGTATGGCAGTTCATATGTTCCTGTATTTGGTTTGTGAGGAAAAATGTTTAAATTTACCAAAGTTGTGAGTGTTTGAAAATCACACTAAATATGTATAGTAGATATGTTTGTTCAGTTTATAAATTTGCCACTTACTTAAAGAAATGTATATCACATGTGTTGGCAGTTACAGTAATTAAGTTTTCTCTTTTAAGAATTGCCTTGCCAATTAATAAAAAATACTGAACCAATTGTCTTCAGACTTGGGTTGTTTTGTAGATTATGTTGATGATGATTATCCTGTAATATATTTTACTCCTAAGTAGTAATAGATACTCTCAACCTTAACTCTATCTTAACAAAGTTTTTGTCTGGAAATTTCCTTCTCAAAATGTATACCTAATGGGTAAATCTACTTTTTGTAAATTCTCAGAAAACTCGTTGTGCATTCAAATGATGATTGCATTAATTTTGGGGAGGATAGGCCGTATTCTTCATAGATTTAAAAAAAGTGGTTGTATCGCTGATTTTATGTGTACAGCTGAACTCAACCTTATCTATTAAACATTGATAATTATGGGACTGCAACTCATGATCTCAGGCTGTTTCTCAGATAAATGTACTTTTACAGTTGTAATGAAAGTATATATTTTGATTCATTGTTTTTACTAATTCTCTTTTGATGTGGAAGTTCAGCTGATCTGTTTTTTCATGTGACTTAGTGTCTATGAAGTTCAAATATTGCTCTTATTGAGTACTATGTAAATTTTCTTTAAAATACTGAGCAATACTCATTTGAAGGGAAGATACAGGGAGACCCACCAGTCTGCAAACCCATTGCAGTTTGAGCTCCAGTGGAAAAAGGTTGAAAATCACTGCGGTGAAAGTTTTAGCCAGTCCTACCATGCAGTTATTCTTCCCAGATGTTGCTAGGGGGCAATATTTACTAAGAATATCTTTATTTAGAGTATAGTGGTTTGACTATGTACATATGGCAGCATATTTGTTTTAAATTCACGTTTGTGAGGCAAGTACTTTAAACCAGATACATGTTGTTCTCCTTTTGGATCTTCATTTTCCACTTTTGACCTGTTACAGTGGAATAATAAGACATGAAGGAGGGATGCTGAACAATGCGGTAGCTCTCTTTGCAATAAAAGCACTGGAGATAAATTATCATATTTTTATTCTTACCTCTACCCCTTCTTGTTGTAGCATTATATTGTAGAAAATAACAAGGATAATTTCCCCTTCAACTCCTATTGTAATTTCCCTAATAACTACCTACTACTTAAAGATTGTCTGGCCTAATTTTTTGACATATTAGGTAGTTGTCAGGATTGGTGAGTGATATTTGTAGCCAGGTCTGTGTTTTAGGGATAAAGTTTTTTACTATTTGTCATATTTATAGCATGTTAGTGTTTTCTGTTATGTCCAATAGTTTTGTATATTTCTTTTACTTGTGTGTTGAAAAAATGTGTACACAGCTAAAGCTATAGGTGTTGGTATTTACATTTCTGTGTGTGTAATTTTGAATGTATGCAAGTCTACTTGGCTAATACAGTTTTTTTAAAAATCAAATTGTGAGTCTGAACTGATCTACTTCCAGTTCTCAACAAAATAATTTATGAACAAGGGGGGCTCAGGTATTTTGCTGTGGTCAATTTCTATCTCGAAAGCAAAAGGTATGTCTACATGGGGATAAAAACCTGCAGCTGGCCTGAGCCAGCTGACTTGGGCTCATGGGGCTTGGGCAGTGGGGCTGAATAATTGCTGTGTGGATATTCGGACTCAGGCTGGAGCCCAAGCTCTGGGACTCCGTGAGGGTGGAGAGTCCCAGAGTTCAGGCTGCAGCCCAAGCATGAATGTTTACACAACAATTTTTGGTCCACAGCCCAAGCCCCACAAGCCTGAGTCAGCTGACCCAGGTCAGCCAGGTCCATGCCATGGAGCTTTAATCTCCATGTAGATATACCTAAAGACAAAGCATTCAGCATATCTGGAGTCGTCTTTTCTAGTGGATATACTGCACATTCTTGCATTTGAACAAATTATTTCAAACGTAATGGCAGGGCAAAAGCACTATTGCAGGCTTTTCAGATGGTAGTGGGGAATATGAAGTTGTTGATGGAATGCTTTACAAAAATACACGTGTGGAAGTGGATTGTGCTGGTGTATCCCATCAACAATGGTAGAGGAATTTTTACTATCAGAAACGGAACCTTTCTGTATAGTGAGGTCCATTCATAAAGACCTGTGTGAATGCTGAAAATACTGGCAAGTTTAGTCCTCTCAGCTTTTCTGCTGCTGTTATGAATAGTTGGTTAGAAGAAAGGTACACATAGAGTAGCTATTATAATAAATTTTGGAGAGCTCTATGCCAAGGAGTACTGCAACAGACATACATTTATCAGCCTGACCAGTTAAGAGTGTATTTAATACAAAAAACACACTACTGCAATATTAAGCTTGTTCATTTAGTCACTAGACATAAGGAAATGCAAAATGAAGGTTCATTAGCAACACTAACTTGTGCATTTCATGACATAAAGAGTAATATACTAAGCTATACATTTAACTAACTAAAAAGAACCTCTCCAGAAATGGAAAATACTGTATGTACAGTTGAATTAAATTTGATATTGGATTTTTAACTTTTGCATTCCTGACTTGCAGTGACTTTCTGTGCAACTTCAACATAGTATCCACATAGATTTAATTTTCTTAGTATTTTCTTTAAAATTAAGAATTATGCTTGAAGTGGCATAAGCACTTAAACTGTCTCAGTTACTGAAGAGGGCATACCTTTTTAACTGCCTTTCATATTTACAGTGCTATACATGCATAACGTAAACTGTTCGAAAGCTTACAGTAGCATAAAGTTTTTACAGCCCAGAGAGCCCTTAAAGCAACATAAATGCTTAAGCTCCTCATAGCAGGATAAGTGCCTACGCCACCTCAAATCCTTCACATGACATAAACATTAGGCATAAACACCTAAACTGCTAAATGCATACAATACGTTGATAAGTGCTTTAAGTCCTTAAGGCTGAATTGTACCTATTGCCATTCATTGAAAAATGTTCCCTTGGTACATTAGGATCACATTTAATAGATGTCCATACAGGGGGTGTGGGGGGAAGCAGATATGCCCAGTGCTCTTCTCAATAAGTGTGAATACCCACATCTTGCTGAATGTTCTACTGCAAGGAACAATTTCCTGTTGTTCATAACTTCATTATCTAAACTGTGTGGTTTTTCATACTTGGCTATGTACTCTTCAATGAAGATTCATTGAATGCCAACTTTCAGATGTCCAAGATCAGTCATTTTTGAGTTATCTGTATGTGTAAGTGGGATGGGAACTGTGATCATTTAATCAAACAAGGCTTTGGTTTTTTAATTTCCATGAAACTTAAAAGTGGCTGAGACGATTCTGCTCAGCCTTTAAGCAAAGGAAAATTCAGCCCCAAACGTGAAGTTCTGTATAAGTTACATTTATGTGAAAATGGTCTTATCACTGAAACTTGAAATGCTATACAGCTTTAAATGTAATAGAAAATCAACCTTGACAAGGCCTTCAGCACATAACAAAATGTGTTTTTTATCCCTTCTCTTTCTCTTGTAGCTGTATGCTATTCCTTGGTTTCTCACAATGTTTACACGTGAGTATATTTTTTTTCTTTGGTTAAATATCAACACTGTATGTTTAACTTCTCCCATTTTTCCATAGAATATACATTTCAGTTTAAAAGGGAAGAATATAGACCCTTCACTCCTAGATGGCTAGTTCAGATTCACCCCAGGTTAACTGGAGTCCACAGGGACTTTGGTTTAGTACACTGAAAACCAGTCTTTTCAGTTCCATGCATCTATGAGAAAACTGGCCTCTTCCAGCTTTTGGGAGGGGGGAGCCTCCCATTTCAGAGATCTGTTACATGTTCCAGGCTTCCCCTAGTTGTAATTTGTATCCTCCATGAACTTATTTAATTATTTTTTGAACCAAGTTATACATCCCAATATCCATGGCAATGAATTCACTGCATTATGTCAAGAAGAACTGCCCTATGTTTGTTTTAAAGCTTCTGCCTACTTATTTAATCAGGTGATCCCTCCTTCTGTTTTATGTGAAGAGGTAACACTTCCCTATTCACTTTCTCTATACTGTTCCTGATTTTATAGACCTCTGTTGTGTCATACTCTATATAGATTCCATGGCAACTGGTACTTTTTCTTATTCCTGAAACCAGGGATCAGTACTGAAGGAGGAAGCCCTTACCTAGACAGAAAACCTTCATATATAATTTGTCACATTTTAAAAAAAGTAGAGCCAATTTTTTGAGGTGAGAAAATGATAGTGACTTTATTGGGTTAAAGGCCAGCATATGCAAATACACCTTAATTGTATAAACCAATACTTTACTATTGCACAGATCTGTTACTACCCTACCATGATTTTATGTTGTTCCTTGGACAAAAGGAGTATTGTACCTGAGTAAGGTTAAATGATAGAGATGATTCTATATGGAGATAATGCATTATTTCAATTGTAAAGTAGGAATAATCCATTATACTTCCTCTTCCCCTCTGAGATATGGTTTCCAATTTCATATCAGATGGCACTGGAGTTAATTAAAAAATAATTGATCAGTTTTCCTATTAGGAAAAGAATGTAAGTTTTATATACTGATGAAATATCAAAGAGTTAAAGATTGCCTGTGCAATGAAGCAGTGTTGTCTATTGACTACTGTTGGTCCATTCAGTTAAACCTTTTGTGAGCATAGCAATTCTACCCATTTTTCCTCTATTCACAGATAGTTTAAAAAAAAGATTATTTAAGCATGCTGGATAGGATAAAGTCATCTGGAGTATTTTATGTGCAGATTGCCATTAGTCTTTTTTTTCCTGAAAGAAAAGGTTCTTCTTCGAGTGCTTGTTCACGTCCATTCCACATTAGGCGTGCGCGCGCTGCGTGCACGAGCGTCAGAAACTTTTTCCCTTAGCGGCTCCCGGCGGGCCACCTGAGTGGTGCCACTGCACCTCGCATATATACGCCCGCTGGCCCAACCCCCTCCAGTTCCTTCTTACGGTTTGTGGCGGCACTGGAACAAGTTCTCTCTCTCTCTCTCTCTGGCAGAAGAGCAGTCCCTTAGCCTTTAGAGTAGCTATTATCAGTTCGTTTACATATAGATTGTGAAAACTTAAGTGATTAGGTGCTTGGAGGCCTCCAGCACCGGCTGTGGGGCATGTCACAAGCCCACGGCTTCAAAGCTTGTGCCAGTTAGTGACCCCCACGGCTCATGTCTACGTTGCCTGGGGGACGGACATCAAACTGAAAGGTGTAGGATTAGCAAGACGTTCAAGCGAAGGACAAGGAAAGAAAGAGACTTTCGCCTAAAACAACTGTTGATGGAGGCCGCACTTCAGCCGCCGGGCCCGGAGCACCCAACGCTGGCTCAGGCTTCCTTGGTGCGTAGTGCCCTGGAGCCGTCGGGAGACCCAGCACTGGCGAAGCAACGTAAACTGTTGGCCCCAGAGCGCCAGGCTAGGCCCCGGCATTGATCGTCCTCCCCGGTGCGGCCCCCGGCGCAGCCGAAAGGAAGGCCTGGTCGTTCCCCGCACAGGAGGCTGGCGCCTCCCAAGGCCCCGAGCACTGACAAGAGCGGGAAGGCCACGGTACTGGTGCTGACACAGGCAGTCCCGGCGGCACAAGCCCCACCGCCTAAGTGAGCTCAGTGCGGACAATGGGATCAGCCCTCCACGCCCGGCACCTTTGAGGTGCCGCATAGGACCTCATCGAGCATTCGGCGGCGAGTCCCCTCCTGTATGGGGAGAACCCTCTGGCACCCATTCCTCTGGCACCGTCGAGGGGTAAGCCGGCAATGGTGTGCCGCTCGAAGACACCGTCCCGGCACTGCTCCTGCAGTTGGTCCTGGTCGAGCTCCGACTCTGCAGACTCGCACTTGTCAGCGGCCCAGAAGGAGGTTGCAGCACCGGCAGTGGGTCAATTGCGAAGAAGCGCCAGGAAGGGCACACCGCTCTCCGGCACCACCCAGAGACCAGCACCAGGAGGAGTTGAGACTACCCTCGTCAGAGGTCTCCCACAGATGGTCCCGGTCCAGGGAACGCTGGTCCCAGTCCTGGGGATACTGGTACTGCTCCCGATCCTGCTCAGCCAGGAGCCACTCGTTCTCCCACTGGTGCAGATTGTTGGCACCGCCATGGCCTTCGCGATCAGCGTTTCCACAGTCCGGCACTGGCTCCGGCCGCTATAGCTACCTGTACCGGGGCCCGGACAGCAGAGACCCTCAGGGGAGCTGGTAACCTCAATGGGGGCCGCCAGGCCATTGGCCCTTCGGGACCCCCTGGGCCTATTAGGAGCACCAAAGGGCCCCTTCCAGGGCAAGTTATTTGGTGCAGCGGTCCCAGTCCCCGCACCGACGCCAGACAGTGCCGGGAGCAACAGTATCCAGGCCTCCAGCATCTCCCCAGCGTAGACCGGAGAGTCTGGCACCGAGCCCGGTGCTGTCCCATGGACTCCCGCCCCAGCCTGAGCCGGGGGCCCCTGCCACAGGAGATGGGGAGCAGGAGGACTAACCAGAGGGGATCGAGCAGCAGCTGACCTTCTCGTCTTCCCCCGATGAGGCAGTGGCCGGTACAGAGGTATCCGGCCCTCTGTCAATAGACAGAGTTGCCCAAAATTTGGGGTTGCAGGCCGAGGAGACGGTTGAGCAGGGGACCCCATGGTGGACATTTTGATCCCCAAAGGGCCATCCAGAATAGCGCTCCCGCTCATTAAGACCATTCAGTCTAACTATAAGACTATATGGCAGACCCCGGCCTCCAGCGCTCCAACGGCTAAAGGAGTGGAGCATAAATACTTTGCCCCATCTAAGGACTATGAGTTCCTGTTCTGCCACCTGAGTCCCATGCTCCCTAGTGGTTTCGGCGGTGCACAAAAGGGAGCGCCATGGACAGCAGACCCCGGCCCCTAAGGCCAAGGAGGTGAAACCCCTGGACCTTTTTGGTAGAAAGGTGTACTCATCTGGGGGCCTTCCGTTAAGGATTGCTAACCAGCAGGCCATCCTCAACAGGCACAATTTCAACCCCTGAGCAGCTGTGGGGAAGTTTAAGGACAACCTCCTGCAAGGTTCCCAACAGGAGTTCACGGCCCTGGTGGATGAGGGCAAGGCAGTAGCCAAGACCTCTCTCCAGGCCTCCCTGGATTCCGCAGACACGGTGGCTAGAACAGTCACCTCAGGGGTGGTCATGAGGCGCTCTGCGTGGCTCCAGGAGTCAGGCTGCCCCACGAAGTCCAGAATACGCGAGGCTGCATATTTGGAGGGTCTGGGCTCTTCTCAGACCAGACAGACGCGAGGCTGCATAGCCTCAAGGACTCGTGGGCTACGCTCAAGTCGCTGGGTATGCACACCCCAGCGACCCAGAGGAAGCCCTTTAAGCCATAGCCTCCCCCTCAACGCCAGTACCAGCCTGGCCATAGGCATGAGCCTTACCGTAGGCGAGGCAGGGATAACAGGCGACGGTGCAACAACAATAATAACAGTAATGCGCCAGGCCAGAACCAAGGCCAGCACAAACCTTAGCCGGACACTAAGCCAGGCTTTTGAAGGTGTGCTCGACGACAGCATACCAGACCAGTCACCGGATCCGTCCCTTTGTTTCCTGAACTGCCTGTCCCGTTTCTCCCATGCGTGGTCCACCATGACATCGGACCGTTGGGTCTTACGCACGGTGCGGAACGGGTACTCTCTGCAGTTCGCCTTCCTCCTCCCCTCCGACCCCCCCCCTTCCCTGTCCCTCTTAGGGACCCCTCTCACGAGCATCTCCTAGAGGAGGAAGTCCGCTCGCTGCTATGGGCGGGGGCGGTAGAGGCAGTGCCTCACGGCCTAAGGGGAAAAGGGTTCTACTCCCGATACTTCCTCATTCCCAAGGCCAAATGGGGCCTTCGCCCAATCCTAAACCTGCGCAGGCTCAACAAATTCCTGATCAAGGCCTGGTTCCACATGGTCTCTCTGGGCACCATCATCCCTTCCCTGGATCCGGGGGACTGATAAGCCGCCCTCGAAGTGAAGGACGCATACTTTCATATCGCCATTTTCCCAGCACATCGGCGGTTCCTACGCTTCACCGTGGGCTGAGAACGTTATCCGTTTGTGGTTCTCCCGTTCGGTCTAGCCTCAAGCATGTTCACGAAGTGCATGGCGGTGGTGGTGGCCTTCTTACGGAGGCAGAGAATCCGGGTGTACCCGTACCTTGATGATTGGCTCCTGGTGGGCCAATCCGAGGTGGAGGTGCGGGGCCATGTGGAGGTGGCCCTGAGATTGTTCCGCGAGCTGGGGCTCCTGGTCAACGTCTCCAAGTCCATGCTCGTACTCACGCAGAAAGTGGAATTCATAGGGGCGGTCCTGGACGTGATGCAAGCCAGGGCAAGCCTTCCGGTATCCCAATTCCGGGCTATCCAACAAGCAGTGGCCTCCCTGCGCCAGTTTCCAACAATAATGGCCAGGTGCTGCCTGCGGCTGCTGGGCCACATGGCAGAATGCATGCACGTGGTCAGGCATGCCAGACTGAGACTCAGGACTCTGCAGGTGTGGCTCACTCAGGTGTACCGCCCAGGCAGGGGCCCCCTGGACTTGGTAGTGACAGCCCCAAGGGATGTGCTGGACTCCCTGCTGTGGTGGCAGTCCCAACCTGTGGTTTGCGAAGGGAACCCTTTGCCGCCCCACTTCCGGACCTGACGCTGGTGTGGATGGGGGGGCTCACCTGGAGGACCTCATGACGTAGGGGTTGTGGTCCGAGGCAGAGTGGTCACTCCATTTCAACGTGAAGGAGCTCAGGGCAGTTCGTCTCACCTGCCAGATCTTTCACACCACTCTGAGTGGTCACAGCATGACAGTTCTGACAGACAACACTACATAGGGCGGGGCTCCTTCCTCGCCACTTTGTCGCGAGGGTCTCCTCCTCTAGGACCTTTGCATAGCCCATGCGATTCACCTCGAGGCGTCCTATCTCCCTGGGGTGCGGAATGAGCTGGCGGACTCCCTCAGCAGGTCGTATCACATGCATGAGTGGATGCTCAGGGCGGACGTGGTGCTTTCGCTCTTCTGCAGGTGGGGTTTCCCCAGGTAGATCTGTTTGCCACCAGGGCCAATGCCCAGTGCCCATGGTTTTGCTTATTCCAGGGCCGCAGCCCGGGCTCACTTGCGGACGCGTTTGCAATCCTGTGGAGAGGGGCCTTGATGTATGCCTTCTCCCCGCTCCCCTTGGTGCACAAAGTCCTACTCAAGGTGCGCAGGGACAGGGTGGTGGTGATCTTCATAGCCCCAGCCTGGGCCTGCCAACACTGGTACACATCGCTCCTAGAGCTGTCGGTGGAGGCCCCAGTAGTGCCGCCCCTACACTAGGGCCTCATTACACAGGACGGCGGGCGGCTTCTCCACCCCGACCTGCAGTCACTGCATCTGATGGCTTGGAGGCTCTGTGGCTAAATGCCCTGGAGAGCCAGTGCTCCCTTCCTGTGCAGCAGATTCTGCTTGGCAGTAGAAAGCCCTCTACCAGGGTGGCCTACAAGGCCAAGTGGAAAAGGTTCTTGGGTTGGTGTGAACGCCGACAGGTGCAGCCGGGCCAGGCCCTGGTGCAAGCCATTCTGGAGTACCTCCTGCATCTCAAGCAGCAAGGGCTAGCCCCGACCTCACTCAGAGTGCACCTGGCAGCCATCTCCGCCTTCCATCCAGGGTTCTCGGGGGGCTCGGTGTTTTCCCACCCAATGGTGGGGCGGTTCCTTAAAGGGTTGGAGGGGGTGTTCCCGTACTCCCACCCCACAGTCCCTCCATGGAACCTTAACCTGGTCCTTTCTAAACTCATGGGACCCCCTTTCGAGTCCCTCACTACCTGTTTCCCTCCTCCACCTTTCCTGGAAGGTAACGTTTATGGTTGCCATTACCTTGGCCAGAAGGGTGTCCGAACTGAGGGCCCTCACCTCTGAGCCACCATACGCAGTATTTCACAAGGACAAGGTGCAGCTCCGGCCGCATCCCAAGTTCCTCCCTAAGGTGGTCTCCCAATTCCATCTGGGCCAGGACATTTGTCTGCCGGTGTTCTTCCCGAAACCCCATACGGACCTGAGTCACCACACCTAGCGCACCCTGGATGTGCGTCGAGTGCTGGCATTCTATTTCGAGCGCACCAAACCCTTTTACAAATCCGCACAGCTGTTTGTGAGTGTAGCCGAGAGGGTAAAAAGCCTCCCAGTGACAGCGCAGCAGTGTTTTCATCTTGGATTACAAGCTGCATCCAGGCGTGCTATGAGCTCGCAGGTGTTCCGGTCACGGCCCACTCGACCAGGGCGCAGGCGGCTTCCACAGCATTCCTGGCACACGTCCCGATCCAGGAGATCTGCAGAGCAGCCACCTGGTCCTCGGTGCACACCTTCATGACCCACTATGTGGTCAACCAGCAGGCCAGAGATGCGGCAGTTGGCAGAGCGGTCCTCCAAGCAGTTGTTCCATGACTCCTACCCTCCTCCAGAGGTAAGCTTGTAATTCACCTAATGTGGAATGGACGTGAACAAGCACTTGAAGAAGAAAAAAACGTTACTTACTTTCTTGTAACTGTTGTTCTTTGAGATGTGTTGTTCACATCCATTCCACCACCCACCCTCTGTCAGAGTCACTGGCAAGAAGGAACTGGAGGGGGTCGGGCCGGCGGGGGTATATATGCACGGCGCAGTGGCGCCACTCGGGGGGGCCCGTCGGGAGCCGCTAAGGGGAAAAGTTTCCAATGCTCGTGCACACACCGCGCGCACAGCTAATGTGGAATGGACGTGAATAATACATCTTGAAGAATAACAGTTACGAGAAAGTAAGTAACCGTTTGTTTTCAAAGGAGAAAAATCCCTTCTGAAAGCTCAGTCTGCTAAGAAGCATTGCATACATTTGTTTTTCACTCTCACCCTTCCCCCCACCTCCAGTAGTATACTCATGCATAATTACAGATTGTTCCAAAAGAGAAAGAAATATCACTAAAGTGTGTACTTAGCAGCAAAAAAGAAAATAATCCGCAGAAGTAGATATTTAATATTGAAATGAAGTGTTGATTGCCATAGGGAGTAATAAATCTACATATGAAAACAAATCTGAGGCTAAGCAAGTTTAGTCTCGTTTGTTCCCAAATTAAAAAGCGGTAACTTTGAGGCAACAATAAAACTTATAGAAGGTTAGTCATGTATATTTTTAAACCTTAACATTGTGTGTTATAATTAATATTTTGTTGCCCGTGCCATCTTGCAGATGTCTTTCCACTGCACAAGATTTTTCATCTGTGGGATACATTACTGCTTGGCAATTCTTCCTTCCCATTCTGTATTGGAGTGGCTATTCTGCAACAGCTGCGGGACCGGCTTCTGGCTAATGGATTCAATGAATGCATTCTGCTCTTTTCAGATTTACCAGGTATATAAATGGCAATTTTTTTTTCTTTTCTGGTGTCCTATTTTTAAGCATTCTGTTGAACATATGTATGTTTATGTCAAATATTTTATAGGTTTGGAAAATTAGGCTTATGTGAACCTATGATAGTGTTTGGGGCCTGGATCACAGCCCACTGAAGTCAAGAAAGTCTCCATTGTCTTCACTAGTGCTTGGGTAAGGTCCATTATCAGGGTTCAAGTAAAGCATGGAGAACTCAGTCAACTTTAGAATAATTTAAAATAATTAATGAATTGAAAAATTTGAATCACTGATTGACATACTACAAACAGGAAGTGGTGCAGTTAGTCAAATTTATCCTCAATGAATTACTCGTTCAGATTTGCTCCGTATGCTATTACTATGGTTATCTCATTATATGATGATAGCTCTATCCTTCCCTCCTTTGGGAGTGCATTTCTTGCTACAGAAGCAGTCACTAGAGCAGAAATGCAAAAAGTTGTTTAAAAGCCAATAAAGAAGCACTATTTAAAGCAGTCTGCACTTGAAATTCAAAACTTATGAGACTGTTTACATAAAAGGTTTCAGAGTAGCAGCCGTGTTAGTCTGTATTCGCAAAAAGAAAAGGAGTACTTGTGGCACCTTAGAGACTAACCAATTTATTTGAGCATAAGCTTTCGTGAGCTACAGCCATAAAAGTGCAGGCTGCTTCAGGTTTCTTTAGCCACTGGTCAGCAACTCTGCCATCTTATTCAATGGATACTGATGTGACTTAGCTCAGTACAAACTTGTGTCTCCTGAAAATATAATAGTCCAGCATGAGGCTTCAACCTTACTTGTGAGCAAAAGCGTTACTGGTTAATAAAAAAACATTTGAATTAAATAAGCTTAAGTAGACTGGAATATGCATTTCCATGCACTTGTGTTTAATCAACATTCAGATAGCTCACTGAACATGTAAAACATTACACTGCATAATTATACATTGTTATTTCTTTGGCACAGCAATTTGCTTTAATAGCATCACCCCAATTTTACCACTATGTTCAGTGGTAAAAGAAAAAACATACCTTTTTTGATTCATCAAGACACACACAAGTTAAAACTAAATAATCTTGTCTCCATAATCAGTCATTTCTAGACTCCCCTCCTTCCTGGTATATATTTTATTGTTGATTCTCTGTTAATTTTGTCATGTATACCCCAGTCCTATAAACAGAAACATGCTTAAAACTTTATTACTGTGAGTAAATTAAATCAGTGGGACTACCCCCAGTAATAAGATTAAGCAAATTCATAAGTATTTACAGGATCAGGGCTTTAAGATGCTAAACTTCTCAAAACAGGGAGCTGCAGGTTAAATAAAAATTGTGGGTTCTTTTTTTTTTTGTAAAGAAACAAGAACAAAATCAGATTTTATGTAAACCTTAATTTAATTTGATATCCTGTTCCATATTGTATTTTAATTTCCTTCTGCATTCTTGGTCAATTCAAATGCCTTTCTTAAAGTTCAAGAATATCCTTTGAAGTTCTGGAAGGTGTGGGCCAGTTCAGAGGATCTCCTTCTCCCATTCCATGGCTGTTTGGCTAAATGCTTTGGCTAGAGCTCAGTTGAAAAATATTATAATTATTTTCTTGCCCAGGTCATTTCTCCTGATTTATTTCCCTGAGTGTATCTTAATTAAGTAGTTCAATTAATCTTAAGCCAAATAAATTGTTCTTACGTTCTTATAGGTGTACTGTACATTGTAGTAGCATTGTGTATGAATAAGAAGTTATTAGCTTTCATAGTACTATAGACTTGAAATATGCTTATGACTCTTTTTATGATAACCATTTTCAAATTATAGAGTATTGTAAGGAATTTTGAAGATTTAAAGTACGATATACTGAAGTATTGTTTAATCTTATGGTGTATGACCCTGAAATTATTTAGGATTATTGAGATTTATTTTGTGTGGTGCAAGAGTTCCAGAAACCATAAATATGTCATGTTCAAAGCACTTTCAAAACATTATTAATTTTATAATAAAATATTAGATACGTCAAGTAAGAACGCTGTCCACCCCACCCTGTGTTAGAACACATTAAATATAGACTACACCAGGAATTACTAGTTGGCTTTCTATTCAGAGAAATAGTGAGTCACCAATGTATGTATACTGAAAAAAAAGAGAGAGACTGTATGAAATATCTGACCCTGTTTTTTGAAGATTGAAAACACATATTTAGAACCATAATATGTGAAGAGCTCCATTGATAGTAACTGTTGCAGAAAATCGTTGGTGCTCCAAAGATGCCAGTAAGAGTGCTTCTGACCTTTCTTAATGACCTGCATCACAGAATGGGGTACATTCAACAAATATCTTTACAGTTCTTTTGTTTACACCATCTTAGCTGCTTATTTATGAAAACATGTCTATTTGCATGTGTGTAATAGAATACAACTTCAACTTCAGCCATGTCTGCCCATACTTAATTTTGCCTCAAGCTGCCATGAATGCCCGTGAGCCTTGTCATAGTTCACTGACTGTCAATATGGGAATGTTAATAAATATTAATTATGACATACACTGCTTTTAGCAAGGTTATCACATTATACTAAGCTATTTGTTAACAGAGTTTTTTTATTAATTTTTCTGATGTTACTGGAGGAATCAAATTGCAGTAGCATGATAATATGCCAGGTAACCTCTGAGAAGCATTTTAAAAGGAGGTATAGGTGATAACAAATGCAGATTGTATGAGTTGGGGTTTTTTGTGCCATAGAAAATATCGTAGGTAATAACACAGTATAGATCAGAGTTCTGACATGAATTCAAAATGCAACCCAAATTGGCGTCTTGGAAAAAAAAACCAGTAAGATAATCATAAAGTAAGACAATATCAGCATTATTTGGAAATAAAATACACCATTAGTATAGCTAAAAGTGAAGTAATCAATATCTTCTCTTAACATATAATGATTATGGTTATATGTCTGACTTTCCTACATAAATCTTATTTTTTGGTTTAAAGGAATAGCCTGATTATGCTCTTAGTCATCTGTATACCCCAAGCAGGGTTTTCACTATTTTGATTGAAATAACCTTTATGCCATGGCTGAAATTTTTCTGAGACTAATTCATAGACAGCTTTCACCTAAAACTGGGTCACTCTGAGAAAAAAATTACACTGTTGAAAACATCTGCAATAATTTCAATCCAAAATCAATTGTTACTCAGCAGCCTAAAATTCCTGTGGTTTTAAATTTGCTGCATACCTGAATGGATTATCTCAGACTGCCAGTGAAAATTACTTGCTTTCCAGTCTAAGTCTATTTTATTGCTCCTCAAAATTGTAAGATTATAGTTTTTTAACATTTTCTTGTTTTATAATTTAAATAAAAGCTCACTGAGTTCTCAAAATCTGTATATTAATAACAAAGGGCCACATGTTCTATCCGGTGCACTGGTAATTATATACTCACAGGGTTAGAAGGGACCTCAAGGGCCATCTAGTCTAACCCCCAAGAGCAGAAGCCACCTTCCCCAGGCCACTGAGTAATAATGCAGTTTCCATAGCTGTTTGGGAAAGTTAACAATGCCAGTAAAAGGAGGGGCATATGTAATGCCATCCTATGTGTGAGATGGGATCCCTGGGGCGCAACCTGGAACTGTGCAGTGCCCTCTTAACTCTCCAGCCTGGGCTGTCTCTCACAATGCTTTGCTAGTGACAAGCAGCAAACCCCTCCAGGTGCTGTTATCACTCAGTACAACAGGACGTGGAGCCCCACACTGCTAAATTGCATGAATGCTCCCTGAACCACTCATGAATAATACAGTAAAAGGCACCAGCAAATCTCCAAGCCCCCAGCCTTGCGCCCCAGAACTGTACCATCTTGCCCTGGTTAGAAGCCTAACCAGTGCGTACGTTCATTACCCAGTCCGGCCCTACCTCCACGTGGAGGGGGACACACACTAGCTTTTGTAAACTGAGGTGAGATTTCCTAAGCACTTCAACCAAAACACACTGTTTTAGGTAAAATATAAAACAGATTTATTAACTACAGAAAGATAGCTTTTAAGTGATTATAGTGGTAGGCACAAAAGGTCAGAGATAATTACCAAAGAAACTGAAAGGTAAGCATGCAGTCTAAATCCTAACCCTGATTAGACTAAGCAGTATTCGGATCAAGCAGTTTTTCCTACACCTTAATACACAGGTTTTCCCTTTAACCTTGGAGCCAACCTTCAGTATAGGTGGGAGGAAAGAAAGGTAAAAGCATGATGCCACTGTCCCCTATGATATATCCTCAGTCCAGGTGCCTGGAAAACGCTAGCCCAGAAATGTCCTGGTGTGCTTTGCTGAGTCAGAGTTGAACAGTCCCCCATTGTGTGATGCTTGTGCAACTCTCTTACAGAACTATAAATCCCTTGCTTACAACACCCCTTCTGATTAATGGTGGTTTAACACCCACCTGTGTGTAGATCACTTCCTTTGTTGTCACTAGAGAAATAGCAGCGGACAACTCCCAAATTTACAACATATTTCAATAACAACCATATAGCAAATTTTCATGACTTCATACATGCTAACAATATACATATTTTAACAGAATAATGGATTTCAGCAGATCATGACCTTTCATATGATATCTTACATAGCATGTTTCATATGAAATATCATACCCATATATAAATGATGGATATGGGCATTACAGGGTGCTACTCTGTGGTACAGCATGTCACCATATGATACTAGAAAATTATCTTGAAAACTTTTTACAAAGGCAGTGACTTTCTTGATGTGTTGGCTGTGTTTTTTCCTATGATGGACAGTGCTTGGTATTTTCTGGGAGATCTCTTTATACCTGAATTTAACAATCTGCCAAGAATAATTTTGGGGACAGAATATTCATCCAAAGTTATCAAACCATTTTATGCAATTTATATCACATGGCTTCATAGTAAAGTTAACCTTTATGAGCAAGAGAGAAACAGGCTAATTAAAAATACTTACTTTAATTTTGGAAACATACCACC